CGCGAATCGGCGCGGCGGCCCCGCACTCCTCGTGTCAGTCATCTCCGCACTCCTCCTCCTCGTCGTCCTCCTCTCTCCCTTTTCAATCTGACATTCTCACTCGCACTCCGTGTCTCCCTTCCACTCCACAGTGGAGCGCCCTCGCCTCGGGGCTGTATGGCCCGGCTAAGGAACCCGTACTACGGTAAAGCACCACCGCCGGGGAGGGGGCGGGGAGAGAGGGAGAGAGAGGTGACGTGGACGACCGAGCCTGGCACTAGCCTGGCGAGGGCATAAAACCTCCATTGCACACGGCCGGGCAGCGCTGAAGAGCAAATGCTCCTCGACTTTGTCGGAGTGAAAGAAAAGAAAGTGTCGTGCTACGTTCGGCTCTGCATGTGTTTGTTCGCGGCCCTGTCTGTGTGTGTGTGCGTGTGTGTGAGTGCTGTGGTACAGTGTGTATTATATATTATGCTAAAACATGGTCGTAGAATGGGGTCAGTCGAGGCGGAAGCTGTGTCTGTGTGCGTGTGTACATATTGCGGAAGACATACGCCAAAGGTTGTGTCTAGGTGCGCACGTGTTCTCGTGAGTGTGTGTGTGCCCGTGTGTGTGTGTGAGTGCGTGTGTGCGTGCGGCCTTGCGCGCGTGGGACCCATTGTGAATTCACTAGGGCCTTTTGAGGAATATGGAACGTATGGCCGGTGTCCGCTGCCCAATGATTTAGCAATGCAGGCCGCGCGGTGCCCGCTGGCTGTAGCTAGTGCTGTAGCTAGCGCCGTAGCTGAAGCTGGAGGCAGAGCTGGTAGCTCACGGCGCCGACGCTCCGAACGCACCGATATCGCACTCGAGGTGCGAGGAGCGCTGGCCGCGTCATCCAGGATTACTATCATTCATATTCCAGTGCAGTGCCCAACTCGCGCCATCGCGCCGCCGTTGCGAGCACCGCCCTCTCATAACGTGTTTTTGGCGCGCAAAAACAAATGCTGGCCGTTTGCGGGGGGCGGTGGCGGCGGCGGGAGATTTAAGCTCATCACTCATGCTGCAACAAAAGAGAGTGACCGCCGGCGACCAGTTTTAGGGCAACAATGCGTTCCAATTTGGTCGGGGGCGGCGGGGGCGGCGGGGGCGGCGGGGGCGTGGCCGACGGGGGGCGGCGGCGGGGTCGCGGGGGTTATATAAGGCAGCAATACAACGCGCTGGGCCTCATCCCTCCATCAAAGACCCCGTCGCGGCCGCCGCTGCCCCCGGCTGGATTGGGACCGAATCGCAACTTCTTCCCCTTGATGGTGGGATTTGGGGGCGGGGGAGGGGGACGTACTTGGCGAATGGTATAAATCAGCTACAGAGGCGAATCACTAAAATATAAAAGTTGGAGACGATAAAATTTAGTGGGCTAGGGGGCGGCTTGCCACGTGGGGCGCGGGGAGCACCGAGTCAACGGGACGAAGGCATCCTTGTCCTCGCAGTGGCGTGCGCGTCGCGTGGCACGCAGACACGCAGTGACACGCAGGCACGCCGTGACACGCAGGCACGCAGTGACACGCAGGCACGCCGTGACACGCAGGCACGCCGTGACACGCAGACACGCAGTGACACGCAGGCACGCCGTGACACCGCACGGCACGCCAGGTGACAGCAGCAGAGCACGCAGAGTGACACGCAGGCACGCAGTGACACGCAGGCACGCAGTGACACGCAGGCACGCCGTGACACGCAGGCACGCAGTGACACACACGCCGGCGGCGTTCCATTATTCACCGAACGGGAATCAAAAATCCAATGGCACGCAGCACGGCCCGCTGAATCCGAACGGTAGTTCGCCGAGAGAGAGAGAGAGAGAGAGAGAGAGAGAGAGAGAGAGAGAGAGAGGAAGAGAGAGGGAGAAGAAGAGGAGAGGAGGGATCGCGCATGCTCGAGGTCGGGGAGTCCGCCGAGCTGGAAATACATGGCGGTAATTCCGAGCCAAACTTGGCGTTGCCTGGCGTTGCCTGGCGTTGCCTGCACTGCTTTGCTTTGCAGCGCTTTGCAGTGCACTGCACTCCTTTGAGGTATGTGGCGCCTGGCGGCGCCTGGCTAGCTCGCACCTCGCGGGGAATGTATTCGATTCGGCCGGCATAAATCAAGCGGGCAGGACGGTGATCCCCGCATCCGGTGGGGCGGCGCGCCGCGGCGTCCAGGAGGGGCGCTATGACAAAGCAGCCGCCCGCAGCCCCGCAGCCCCGCAGCCAGCACTACAGCGGATCCTTGAGAGTTTGAAGGAGAGCGCACGCCCTCCGCCAGTCCGCCGGTCCGTCTGCCTGCCTGTCTGTCTGTCGGCCCGGACGTGGTAAGGGAGGTCAAGGATGGTACCGCATTCACTTGGAGGGACTTTTTCCGGGCGTTTCTTCCTCTGGCGGTTTTGCCGCGGACGAGCTGGATTGGAGCCCCGAGCCGGCTGAGCCGCGGCTACGGTGGCGCTGCGAGTGCGAGAGAGCGCGACGGAGCGGCGCCGCGAGAGCGACAGAGTGCGAGCGTCGCCAGGCGATTGTGGCGTACTGCTGATCAAGTTGTCACACTTCTCCCGCGCGCCCCCCGCGCGCCCCTCTCCCCAATCCAGTCCGCCGACGCTCAAAGGACGCTCAATTTAGCGCCTTCACGCCTCACAGGTTCCTCCCGTGTCGTCCGCATTCCCTTCTTGCCCCCACCCCCTCCACCGCAACCCTTTTCGGTTCACTCCTGAACCCTGGGCCGTCCCTGGCCGCCCTGCCCGCCTTGCGGCCTTGCCGCTTCGCTGGGACCCTCGCCGACTTTCCGGCAACGGGGAAGCTAACTATACCACATTTCCGCTCTCTGTCGTCCCGTGTTCGTCTTGCCCCTTTCCCTCCCTCCCTTTCTCTCTCTCTCTCTCTTTCCGTTATCTCTTCTTCTCCTGCTCGCATATTTCGCCGTGTCGTTGCGGGCAACATAACCTAAATTTCGCCGTCGGGGGGAGGAAGCCGCGAAGCCGCGCGAAAGGGCGCCCGGCCCATTTGTCGTGACTCTCCCGACTCCCCGACCCTTACAGCTCACCCTTCAGACTCTCCCGATTCTCGCGATTGTCTCGACCCTTTTTCAGACTCTCCCGATTCTCGCGTTTTTCCCGACCCTTTTTCAGACTCTCCCGATTCTCGCGATTTTCCCGACCCTTCAGACTCTCCCCATTCTCGCGGCTGTCATTTTCCCCGGAAAAGTATGAAAAATATTGCGAGAGTCATCGCGGCCTCGGCGTCCCGCGTTTTTTTTTTTTTTAGATTTTCCGCGCCGCGATTTTCAGAACTGCCCCGCCACGCGTGGAACACCGTCTGCACTGCCACAAACAGAAGCCCGATTATCGGTGTTCGTGCAAACAAAAAAGAGATAATAAAAAATATAAAAAAATACAAATTGCCAGGTGGCTCTGCAACGCCGTGATAAAGTGACAGGCATGCAGTCCTGCCTTGTCAGAGGGGTCACAGGGGAATGGTGTGGGAGAGATTGGCAGGACTGCATACCAACGCGAATTGCTAGTCGCGACGCAAAAGAAAGCGGAGACGTTTTCGCGTGTCGGCCGAACGATTTTGGAGAGTCGCAAACGCCGTGATGGACGCGCTTTTTGGCAGTGCGGTGGGTGGCAAGCAGTGGCAAGGACGCCGGGGCGCCCTGCAGCGCTTCTTACCGGGGAGCAACGAACCATACAAATCGATGTGACGGCCTCGCTAGCTCTAATTGCTGGGGGGAGTGCGCTTGAGGGTGTGAGTGTGTGTCTGTGAGTGTGGGCGTGTGTGTGTGCCTGCGGCTGAATAGGTGAGTGTGGTTTATGCTGAGCGGCGCCGTGTGGGACTCTTCTTGAGAGCGCCATTTAGCTTACGCGGGACCGACTGTGTACAGCCTCATCAGCGAAGCGCTAAAGTGGGGGCAGGTTGCGCGGGAGCGACTATGCGTCTGACAGGTGTACCAGTGTACCACCCCGTCCGAGAGGGTGGGGGTCGCTTTCAAAGGTTTCAACTTTCCTGGGGCAGGGCGGGTCGGGGCCGGGGGCGGCCCGGGGGCGCGAAGCGTTCATGCATCGGCTTGGCCTGCGCGGACTCCTTGCCGCTGGGTCTCAGCAGCAAGGAGTGTACACTAGCTGATGAGTTGAAGACACCTTGGTTAGACCGCTCCGCCACGCCTCTGGAAGCTGCGAGGGCCCTCGCCCTGATGCTAAGCTGCCTCAGGTGCCATTACATGGCGCTGTCGCCCTGTTGCCCAGCAATAAAGAAGAAAGAGAGACGAAGCTTGTCTCTGCGCGCGGAGCGGCAGAGGGGGAGGGGGCAACTCGGTGCGTCGCATGGCGTCCCCAGGGCCCCAAGGGCACTTGGCAACTCATCAGCAGCTAGACCCGGCCGCCCCGGCCGCCCCGGCCGCCCCGCGTCTCTGGGCTGTCTCATTTCATTTGCACCGCACTTCCGGTTATCCGTCTTTCCGGCCACGCATTACAGGCCAATCTGCGCGCTTCTTTTTGTCGCCCGACTTTGCATAAACTGCAATATTACGACGGGGAGGGAAGTGGGTAAAAAGGAGGGAGGGGGAGAGGTGCCGAGCGGCGCGCGGTTAATCAATTAATGCCTACGCTAATAAAGTTAATCGTTCCGTCGTCGGCCTAATGAGCGCACGGCGTTACACGCCGCCTTGGATTAGCGTGCGTGCGATAGTGTCACGGGGCGCGAGCACGCACGCCGTTTTTTCTCCCCTTTTTTTATTTTCTCACCCCTTCCAGGCGGCACAGTGTAATTTTCCTTGTCGTGATACTCGAAGCGCATACCCAAGCACTCCCCCTCCCCCTCACAGTGTGCACGCAGTAGCGATTTGTGTGCAGGTGGTTGGTTTTCGCGTGCCGTCGGCGCTATGTCGCGAGGCGCCGCTGGAAGTTCCTTCATTTGTCATGAGGCGATGGTGACTCATCGCTATTCGCAGGATATCGAGGCCCATCGCTATTCGCAGTCCTGTCGTGCGGATAATCCTAACCGTTGTCTTTGTTGCAGATGGTGACGCGGACGAAGAAAATTTTCGTGGGCGGCCTCTCGGCGCCCACAACTCTCGAAGACGTCAAAAACTACTTCGAGCAGTTCGGACCGGTGAGTTGAGTTGGAGTTTGCCGGCGGTGGCGGTGTTCTACTCGCTGGGGACTGCGGAGCGTTGACCTCCGCCCTGGCCAGCTTGGCCGGCCTGGCCGCCTTGCGGTGGCGCGGTCGTCCCAGCGGAACCCACCGAATCTTTAGCACAAAAGAACCCGGGCCATGACCTTTCGGTGCTAATAGTCACCTCCCCCTAAGTTCTGCGCCCTGGGATCTCTGAGCCAATCGGTCGGCCGGACTGTCACCCTGACGGTGTGGCGGCGGGCCGAAAGGACACGCTGACCTTAGTCACGGCTCCCCCGGGACGCGCTGAGGTCCCCGTTGACGTAATCTCCACCTGCCGCCACTCGAGATTCCCCGTCCCGGGATTTTTTGTTTGTTTCACCAGAGCGGTGTGGCAAAGTAGGAAAAATTTAGCGGCCTGGGGCCCTCCTGCAGACTGTCTATGTCTCTCTCGCACTCACGGGGCGTGCCTTGTAGGCGCGAGAGGGACAGGGCGACGAAAGCGGCTCTCGGAATCAGTCCGCTGGTTGACCTTCTCCCCGCCCCCGCGGACGGCGCCACCACACTGCCGCGCTCGCGCCGTTCAGTGTTTTCGGCCTGAGTTGTGGTGCCGGCGTGGACGGGCAGGACGGGCACGGCGCGCGGCTACGCCAGGGTAATTTTTCATGTTTACCACCGTGTCACTTGCAGGGATTTCGCCTTCGCCCCGGTCGAAGTCGGCCGCCCCACCCCATCCAGCCCCAGCCAGCGCGCTGCGGGGACCCCCAAGACGTCTCCGCGGCACAGGCCACTATACCCTGTCACTGAAAGCAGCTCCGTCACTCTACCCCGTCACTACCTCGTCACGAAAAGGACCTATCCTGTCACCGAATGTAGCCACCCCCGCCCACAGCAAACCCCCTAAAAGAGGCGCTCACTGCCCCATCACTACCTGGGCGGCGCCTGCAGCGAGCCAGACCTTGTTTGCCTCGAAAGGGCAAGCCCTGCAGGGGGGGCGGGGCGAGGCGTCGAAGGGTGCGGACCGTTTCCGAATCCAGGGACGCGCTTCGCCGCTTCGCCGCTTCGACGCGCCACACGATTTATCGCTGTTTTTCATCTGTTTTTGAGCGAACAGCGCTGAACAGCGCCGCGGCGGTCCAGCAGAGTCCCTCTACTTTACGGATGGCGCTTTTTTTCTGCCCCCTCACCCCGCCGGCGCCGCTAGCGGGGTGGGTCTGGCAAGGAGATGCGTGGCTCTGGCGGACGAACGGAATCGCATCGGACCCGGCCCGACCTCGCAAACACTCCGCGTCGGTTTTGATCGGTGGTTTGCCTAGCGACCTTGGCCACTCCCTGTTTACTCGCGAAGCCTTCTATCAGACCCGCTCCCTCCCTCTTCCCTCATTTCGTCTTTATTTAATTTACGGCTTTGTCTTTATTTCCACCGCAGCGCCTTTTTTCCCTTTCTCTCCTTTCTTCTCGCGTTGCTGGAAACGGGATTGACCCCATTCAAGTCCGTCTTGTCTCGGCAGATGTGCAAAATTCGGCCTAATTTCCATTACTTTACTCGTCGAAGAAAAGGGGGGGGGGGAGGCAGCTTTCTTGCACGTTCAGAAGAGACGGGATTTTCGGGCTGAACAGCGCGCGGGCGTCGAGACCGAAAATGTTGTAGCGCGCTTTCTCTCTCTCTCTCTCTCTCTCTCTCTCTCTCTCTCTCTCTCTCTCTCTCTCTCTCTCTCTCTCTCTCTCTCTCTCTCTCTCCCTCTTCCTCCGGCCGCGATGAAGTAACGCCCAAACTTTTATCCTCGGGCGCGGAAATAATTGTGAAGAAGGAGGCGGTGCTAGAGGCGGCCAGAGAGAAATAAATAAAACTCATTCCCCTAAAAATATGACGGCGATTGAGAATCTGAACGGTTCCTTCGTTTTGCGAGAAAATAGAAGACAAAGAAAAGCAAACAAGAACAAAAAGAAAACAACAACAGGAAACGATCGGTGAAATTGAAATGAAGTATGAGAGTCCAACATTGACTGTGTCTGGGTGCTAGAGGGGTGTCACGGCTGTCTGGGTGTGGTCAGACAGAGATATGTGTTTGCGTGCGTGTGTGACCGCGCGGAGAGAGAGGGAGAGAAAGAGAGAGACGAGAAAAGCTGCTGAGAAAGAGAACCTCCCAGCAAGTGCGATTAAAAGTTGGTGATAGTAGTGATTGATGCTTCCATATCCGTGCGCCGGGGAACATCAGCTGGAGAATGAAAGAGGGAGAGAGAGAAAGAGAGAGAGAGAGAGAGAGAGAGAGAGAGAGAGAGAGAGAGAGAGAGAGAGAGAGGCCGGCGCGGCCAGGAAGGGTTGTAAAGAGAAAATTAATGGTCGCGACAGAGCGCCTGTAAGGAAGAGGGAGAGGAAAGGACGCAAAAAAGTTGAGAATGTAAAAGTGGTGTTTGGAAGGGAAATGGGCTTCCATGGCTGTTTCCTCTCGGAGTTCACTGTATCCTTTCGCTAGAGATACCAGCTGAGGGCGGTAGCGCGCAGGCCTGGCCAAGCCGCGCACCAAAGTTTGGCCGGTGAGCCTGGCCGGCCGTGCCGAGCCCAGCCGAGCCCAGCCCGGCCGAGTGCTTCGGTTGACCTGATTCCACCACAGCAGGCGTAATCCGGCACCGCGAACGATAACCAGCCCAGCGTTCTTTCGCGAAATTTAATTGAGATTACCGAGCGATTGGGCTGCGAAGTCATCGTGGTGCGCTCTTTCTCTCTCTCTCTCTCTCTCTCTCTCTCTCTCTCTCTCTCTCTCTCTCTCTCTCTCTCTCTCTCTCTCTCTCTCTCTCTCTCTCTCCCCGCGTCCGTTCGTTGTCACCCCCCGCCCGGCCGGTCTGCAGATGCGATTTATCCACGCGCTGGCAGGTGGTAATTTTTCCCCCAGCTCCCACCACCTGCCCCGCCACCTGCCCGGCCCAACAGCAGCTCCCGAAGCGCGGGCTGCGATTTTTCACTTTCCTTCCTCCTTTTTCGTTATTTCGCCTCTCATTATCCTTTGACGCGGCCGACGCGTTTTTCTGCCGTGAGCACCCATCCTGTGTCATGTTTGGTGCTTTACCTCGCGTCAAGTGCAGGGGCCGCCGGGTTGTCGGGGGTAGGGGGGACCGGCCGGGGACATCGCCCCCTCTCTCTTCTTCTCTTCTCTCTCTCTCTCTCTCTCTCTCTCTCTCTCTCTCTCGCTCCCACCCTCTCCTCCAGCGCCACTTTTCGCTCCTTTCCCTCGAGGCCGTGATTGATGAGGTCCCTTTCACCTCGGGAGCGAGAGGGACAGGGAGGGGGAGGGGGGAGAGGGAGGGAAGGCGTCCTGCGACCTCAAGGCCTCCCGCTGGCCCGGCGGCCCAAGCGGGCCGAGCGGGCCAAGCCTGCCGGGCACCGCCTTCTATCTGCACATTACAGTGCCTCGGCCCCTCGCACCCCCCCCCCCCCCCTCCACGCCCCCGTTTCCGCCGCCCCCGCGACGCATGATAACTCCATCCAGTGTCCTTTATCTCTCTCCTTGTCTATAGGCCCCTTGCTCGCGTGTGTGCAAAGGGCGCCCTCTCTCTTCAACATATTCTTCGCGCGCCACCGGGTCGTTGGAGAAAGCCGTTACCCCGTTAGCCGCTAAACGGCTGAGACGAGCAGGGAGCACTATCCGTCTTCCCTTGACCTGCCAACTGTCCTGTCACTGGCCGGGGGGCCCCACGCCACCAATAATCCCTCGCTGTCAATATTCCGTCAGTTTGGCAACCTTGCATGCCTGCCCGCCGCGGCCGCCGCCCTGAGGCCGGAGCGGAGCCGCCCGGACCGAGCCGCCGGCCTCCCCGTCCTCGTTTTACGCCAATTTGCGGTGGGCTGCGGGCAGCTCGGTCTGGGCGGCGCGGCGGCGCGGCTCGGAGGGTGGGGCGGACCCTCCTCGCCCTTCAACTCACCTTTCCATAACAATAATGATTTCCATCCCCTGCCGCGTTGTGCGCTTCAGTTAGCTCCACCGCCTTGCGAGAGCTGTCCTCCTCAAAGGTGTCGTCCTCGAAGGCGGTGCCCAGGGCGGTGCCAGGTGTGGACTATTTACTTCCGGGTGACCTAGTGCGCTGCGGGGCAAACATCGGCAGCAGTATTGGACAGCTCGGAGGACGTCAGCTTGAGGCTGTGGACGGACTACTAGATTTTTCCGCCCTTTTCCCCCCTCCACCCGTCCCTTTCGGAGAGATTGCAGGGCCAGGGCGCAGGGCTAGGCCCTCGAGGCGCCCAGGCGAGAGGCGAGGGCTGCCTCAGGGTGCCGGGCTGGCTGTCTGCCTGGCTGTCTGTCTGCCTGGCTGCCTGCCGCCTGCCTGCCTGCCCGCCTGCCTGCCCGGGGTGCTGGGTGGTGGCCCACGGCCGCGGCCCCACAGATGACACATGTGGCTGAGACCATGATACAGTTCCCTACTGTATTACAGCTCCTTGTGTTTGTCTGGCAAACAGCCCCGGCCCGAACGGCACTCGACTCGAGTCAACGGCCCGGCTGAACGGACTCAATCCCAAAGGCAACCTAGAGGCTGGAGGTCGGAAACGGGGAGGTTTTTCCATTCTCGTGTCCACAGCGTCTTCCTGCGAGCCGCGGAGACCAGTATCACGCAGAAAATAAAAGTCAATAGCTGTTATTCCCGAGAGCAGCAATCGCAGATTTCACACTGCGAGACACAGAAAACTGTCGCGGCGGACTGATTGCCCTCGACTTTGACGTGCCGGCTATCCCAATTCCCTTTCGAGATATCGACGTGACTGTCTCGTCGGCGCTTCGCGTGTGCGGTCGCCCCCCCCCCCCTTCCCCGGCCACGGCTTTCGTGCAAAGTCTTGCGGTCGGGAAGCTCCGCTGGAAATTCACCCGGCCACTCCTGCGCTCCCCACCCGCTTAAAACTGCGGCCCGGAAAGTCAGCCGCGAACCGCAAAAGACTCTCCGTTCGGAACCGGGGCGGAGAAGGGGAGGGGAGGGGCAGCAGTGGAGCAGAGCGACCCACATTCTAT